GGCCCCATTGTTCTTTCCCATTTCCCAATGGGCCTCTTTGTTCCTCCCCACACCCACTAGGCACTATTGTTCTTCCCCACCACACTGCTGGGCACTATTGTTATCCCCACTAGATACTATTGTTTCTCCCCATCCCCTGCTGGGCCCCATTGTTCTTCCACATTTTCAACTGGGCACTAGCGTTGCTCCCAGTCCCACTAGGCACTATTTTTCTTCCCTACCCCCGCTGGGCACTATTCTTCTCCCCACCCCATTCCCCCCCCCCCCCCACACACACACACACACACACACACACTTCTGGGTTTTTACATTTCTTACTGGGGGTACTATTGTTCCTCCCCACCGGTGCTGGGAACAGTTGCCCCCTCTCACCCTCTGCTGAGCACTACTCCCTTCTGCCCCTCCTCAGCACTGTTGTTTCCCTCACCCCCTTCTGGACACTATTGTTGTGCCACTAAGTCACTAAGCCCTACTGATCCCTGCCATCCAGATAGGACACTGGCATTTTTTTCATCCCACAAACCAAATTTTTTTTCTTCTCACTGACCACAAATGATAGGCATTTCTCCGCCTACTGATCCCAGAGTATTTTCTTTTCTTCCCAGGGAACACTGAATCTGGGGCATAACCATTATCTCTCTTTTCCACCCCTTCACTGAAGCACAGCAACTATGGAGTATTTCCTGGGTACAAGGACTGTAGATTTCTTTAGGCCATTCCCTAAAATTAGCACAATTTAGCCATGCTTATTATTGATGAATGTCACGTCTACCCCAAGGTGTCCCTCTATCGCAAGTTCCAAAGTTGGGAGGACTTTCTCTTTCTCTCTTTCACGCTATATATATATATAAGTAAATTGTTTCACTGGTGTCTGTGTAACCTAAATTATAATATGGAGGATAAGGGTTGCACATATTTTGGTATTTTGGACCTGTTAAGCATGCCCTGACTACCATGGGGTATTGTTTTTCTGCAGCACCAGGTAGAAATGTAATATACTCGCTGCGGTCGAAGGCTGTGTGAGCAAAATTAATAAATGTGACCCTTAAAAACAAGTAATGTGTGTTTGTTGCAGATTTGTATTCCTGCTTTGTTTACCGTTCTCAGCAGATATAATAGGAAGAAATCTATCACTCCGCGTGGACTGTGACTGAAGCTCCACATTTACTCTCCATTCCCTGCCAATTCCCCTCGAGAGATTTCTTCCCTCGCTATCTCTTGTGTTTTGGAGGAAGTGCCATAGACACAGAGGAAATATTTTATAGGTCCCATTAGGGAAGCAGCACAGATAATTTATCAAGTTCCGAGCTAATGAGTGGTGCCAAACACCCAGTCCAGGAAATCCACTGTAAGATGGAGATGGGGCATTATAACTTTATTTCAGATAATCCATCAGTGTGACTGTAGCAAACAACATCTGCCGAGCAACACACACCTTCAATGTTACTTAACACTGCTAGCCATGTCCTAGTAGAACCCAGGGATAAATCCCTGAATGTCACTGGAAAAGTCGATGCACAAAAATAACATTACTATCTATTTAGACTATCAGTAAAAACATGGAGAATACTTTAATCAAAGTACCTTCAGTGACAGGATATCTTCAGTGACAATGGATCACCCTCTTGCTCCCCAAGACCTACTCCCCCTGCGCCAACCCCATTGATGACTAGCGCCTGCTTTATTTGCCCCAGAAGGTTTGGAACTCATTTGCTGACACAACTCCAGTCTCAGAAATTGGAGGTGTGTCAGCTTTTTCTGCACTCTTGGGCTGTCTGATGTGTTGTATTAAATTACCCATAGATATGAAATGACAGGATCCTTAGCTCGTCACTTTTAACCATATCAGGTGTTGGAATATGGGAGACCCCTGACCTTGCTGGCCCCTGCGGGGGTAGCAAACAAATAGACTGGTTAGAAAAGCTTTTCCAAATGGTATTGCCCCCACTCATAAACCAGTGTCAGCCTCTTGCTCACAGCCTCTCTCCATTTACATAAACTTGAAAAGTCAACAGAGCCAGCTTTACACAATTGTGGAGAATTCAACACTTGCTTGAGGATATTCAGACAGGACAAATGACTGTGTTGCGCTTAACTAAAAATGTTAATTAAAAATACGGTTGATCAATTTATAAATGGAAGCAGTCTATTACAAATCTATGCACATGCACAGATATTGGTTCGATCAATCAGAAGCGATTGTCAAAACCATATCTGATCAACTTCTACATCAATTGAATGGAGGGTCTTTGGTTTACTATTTTTATATTGAATTATCCATTGAATAATCATATTGATATATGGTGCCACCAATAAAGGGATTTACCGTTAGGACATTAATTTGAATTGAATCATCCAGATGGATAATTACTCTTTTGGCTACAAAAGGACATTACAGAATTATCTAGTCCAGCACTTCTCAGCATTTTATAAAAGAATGCAAAATCTCAAGGTGCCCCAATCTAAAGCTTAAAAACGTAATATGGTTCCACCAAAAAACGATACCAGAAGCTTATTCTAGATAGGGGTTGTGGTATTGGTTTAAAAAGAAAAAGGAAAAATCAATATGGGGTTCTACCATAGTCTCCCCCTTTAAAATCAGAAGCCCCCCTTCTCATGAAGTCCACCTCTTTCTTATCAGAGTCCCCCCCCCTCCTTTATATCAGGAAAACTTCCTTCCCATCAAAACCCCCTTTTTATATCAAGAGCCCCCTTTACATCAGTCCTTCCTTAACTTCAGAGTCCTACATTATAAACGTTAACACAATGCACCTGTGCCAGTATGTAGTCCTCCGCTATCTTGCACCATGTCAGGAATGGCGCCAGCAAGAGGTAATAAAATATGTAATAGCAAAAGTTTGGTATGTGCAACTTGCACACACTGGACGCCAGAACAGGGGATCCGGAGCGCAGTTCAATACTGCACCACAACTATGCAGAAAGATTGAGCGGCATAGGACAAAGTGAAGGAAGCAGAGGCAAGCTAGTCTAAACAGTGTCTGCTTATTAAAGTAAACATTCCCTGAAAAAAACATGGGGGCTGCCATTGCGGCCACTTTCACCAATGCTGGGTTACTGGTGCATTGACACCAATGCTGGGAGCTACTATTACTACCAATGACACCAATGCGAAGGCTTATTTTGTTTTCCATACTACAAGTCATAAACTGTGAAATAACACCCACTTTCTTGGCCATGCCTCTAGGCGTTCAGCAAGTGTCATTCTGCCTGTTCTGCATTTTTCTTCTAAATAACTTCAAGTCATCCCTCCTTACCATGCATGTATATCTTGGTGCCTCTTATTTGAAATCTGTTTATTTAGTCTATATATCTTGAATGTTTGCCTCTTCTTCCAGAAGTCTGTGAACAAATTGTTTGAAGGTGTGTTAAAAATGGGGGTGTGGGCGAGTAGTATCCTTTTTAATAAAGTTTAGTATCTTTTTAAAACCATCTGCAAAAAAAAACAAAAAAAAACGGGGATGTGGTTTTATGGGTTTCGCTACAAATGGGGGGTGATTTGTGGGTGTGGTTAAAAGTGGGCGTGATCAGTAGAGTGTCCCTGGATTACACTTTGAAAATCTGGTAAGCTTACTTCACATCATAATTTGGAAGGGTAGTAAAGGTGTCATCTTTGCTGAGTCTATTGTGAGATGATTTCTTGTGTAACCTCTCTCCTGATGTTTTCCTGTGTATTTTGTTGCTTCCCCGAGCTCCGCTATCCGTGTGGGGCTTGAGACTGGAACGGCGGATCTCCCCGCAACGATCGGAGAGAGATTCAGCGGCTTCCAGCCACTGATCTCTCCTCCGATCACTGGACCCGGAAGTGATGTGTATTACATCACTTCCGGTGTCACTGTTTACATTCTCCGGCTCTTAGAGCCAGGAAAAGAAGCTGGTGAAGCAGATCTCTGCTTCCTCAGCTTCTTTGGGTGACATTAGTGGTCTGAAAGACCCCTGATGTCTCCATAAAGAGGACCTGTCACACCCTATCTGCTATTACATAGGGAGCTTATTAGCCCCCTATGTGATAGCAATAAGGTTAGTGTTTAAAAAAAAAAAGTGTTTTAAAACTTTTTTTAAAAATAAAGTAACATATAAGAAAATTTGAAAAATGCAAAAAATTGCGCTACACATGTTACATACACGAACCTTGGAGCAATAATTCTGGAGCCATTAATCACTGTTAGCACTAAACTGATGAGCAGCAAAAGCTTTTAAAGTGTCCTCTATGGGAATTTTATTTTTTTTGCGGCTTCACGGGCAAGGGCAATTATAAAGCTTGACATGTTTGGTATCTATTTTCCTGACGTGACCCTGTCTTTTATATTTTACCAAAGAATTGGGTATTATCTTCTGTTTCTGTGCACTATGTTTCATTTTAGTGTATTTTATCCTAAAAATACTGGTTTGATAAACATTTGCCCAAATACCATGCAACATGAAAAATTGCAACTCGCATTTTTTTTTTCGACAGGGCCTCTGTTTTCAGAACATATATCATTGTTGGTGGTTTGAAGCTGTTTTCTAGCCAATAATTCAGATTATATCATGTGTGTGCAAATAGTAATAAATTGCTCCGGACAGCAAGTGGTTAATCACTACTTTACTGGTAGTTCAATTTTAATTGTGAATAAGCTCTGCAGACCATTACCTGAAAACTATTTTTCATTTGTAATCTATGAATAACTGAACATACACCTACTTATTCAGATACAATATCATGTTCTTTGTTTAAGAAAAGGAGCGTACACCCTAGGATATGGATTGTGCAAGGATGGTTCTTTCTTTGGCTTTAGAGGTGTTTTCAGCCTAGAGTGGCTCAAAATGTCATGGTAATGGAGCTTCTATAATTCTCTACTGCCAATTTTAATGAATTCTAAATTAAAAATATATATTTATGTAAATATTGACAAGTATGATATCGCCAAACCAAATTTTTAACCATTCATTATCACATTTATCCCAAGTTTATAAATGGAGTAATTTTGTTCTCTTTGCAGCCTATCTTTTGAGCTGCGGATTCCCTCGAAGACCAGCTTATGGTGATATATCTGTGACCAGTCTGCACCCGGGAGGGGAGGCATATTTCTACTGCAATACAGGCTACCAGCTGCATGGACTTCATGTACTAACCTGCCTAAATGCAACCCGACCTTTCTGGAGCAGCCGAGCTCCGCAATGTATAGGTAAGAGATTGATGAGACCACAGAACTGTGAGGTTTGTACAGCACTCTAATTACTGTTTTTCTACAGGCTCTACATCTTGTAATGATAAATTAGTATTAGTATTATCTACCTATGTGTCCACCACATTCATTCCTGAGACAAAGAAAAGGAAATGTTTTTTTTGCCTGTGCTTAAGCTGAAGCACAAAGTCACCCAGGCAGGCTAATCTGTCATTCCTGATTACTGAACAATGCAGATCTGCACTGCACTATGATGCCAAACCTACCACACATAAATATCACTATACAAAAATTAACCATATAATTGTTTTTACAAAAATTATATAAAAATCCTTAAAAGCTATCTATGGTCAAAAACTAAAAATAAATCTGTATTTCTCTATTGGATTTCCAAAAGTTCAATCCCACTCCTAATAATCATATTGATCAAGAAGTTTGTAAACTTACTTACTGAAGATGCCCGTAGGGTGTATACAGGGGCGTCCCGAGGCCGGGTGTCACCCGGTCTAGGGACCGGGTGACACCCCGCCGTGTCGTCATCACGCGTGCGCGTGACGTCACCTCGCCCATGCACGATGACGTCATCACGCATGCACGAGGTGACGTCACGTGCACACGCGATGACGACACAGCGGGGTGTCACCCGGTTTCTAGATTGATGCCTGCCGGCGACCATCTTTGTGATGGACTACGGCAGAGAGAGGAGGGGATGTTCACCCGGCTGCATACCTCATCCCTGACACTGTCGGGCTCTTGGTCAATGACCGAGTGCCTGACGTTTTAGAGGGGGATGACACCAAATGACTGTAAGTCATTTTGGTGTCACCCCTGCAATGGTGACACCCGGTTGCGAGCCGCACCCCCTTGTGACGCCACTGGGTGTACATCCTCAATGCAGTGGCACAATTTCACTCAGCCCTGTGAATATGCATTTCCTTGTGTCATAATTCATGGAGCCTGCCTTTTGAACTGCAATTCAGCGACTGAACTTCCCACAACATTTGAACTTCCCACAACTTCCTCAGTGTCTCAGTGTCTCATTTCCCATTATCATTGCTTGCTGGAAGCAATGCATGATGGTCTATGTAATCTTGAGAAATCGAGATAGCATCACATTAAGCATTGGAAAAAGAGTAGCAAATCACACTGGGAATACAGGAAATTGTTGAAAGTGATGGGCAGTTGAAAGGCAGCACTCACTACATAAAAGGGATTTTTCAAGTAAGCTTTGATTGCATTATAAAAAACAACTCTACTTTGTATTCCTATTACAATGTTGATGTTAGAACAGGATAGTACATGCAGGGACTTTAAAACTCCTTTAAAGGGTTACTTCCCTTTACTTTCCCTAAAACTTATATTCAGGTTATGTAAGCAAACCTTTCACTAACCCTGTTTTCCTAGCTGGATGTTATTTTTTTTATATTATGGACAAGGCAACAATGGAACACCAAAACTACAAGGTAGTCTGGAAGGGAACCAGGAGCTTTGGCAATCTCACTGCCGGTGCAGCCAATAGGTGGTCACAGACTTGTAGAAGTGATTTATCACTATACCTATAACTGATATATCACAAAGACAAGCAATTAATCAAATAGATTTATGAAAAAGTCTCTGATTATTCTACATATGTTTGAGATAGAAAGGGATAGTAGACAAGTCCAGATTACCTTGGCAGATACCAGGTATTATCACACCAAAGTCTTTATTAATATATGTCAGTAGGACCTGAAATGTTTTTTCTCATATTATTTCACCTTATTGCCTGTAATAACAATGATCTTTGATTTCCAAAAGATATAACAAGAGTTTTCTAGTTGCACAAGAGGACTCCACCACCACTTTCAGAGACACATGAGTAAACCCATCAGCATGACCTATGTTATAGCTGTTATTGTTTATTATAACTGCTTAGCAGTGCTTTCCTGGTGAAAGCATGTCCAACATTTCAGTTCACATCGTTTTGAAATAACCTGTTTAATTGCCAATTAGGACTTCACAAGGCAGAGTGACAGAAGAGGAAAAAAGGAAACTTTGATTCCACCATGTCATATTATATCAAGACTCACTATATTATGGCAGTACAGGTCATTTACATACCACATAATGTAGTGAATTGGTTTGTAGTCTCTGCAGAATAAAATGTCACTTTCATTAAAGCAATCTTTGGTGTGTTTTATTCTTCTGTTCATATGCAAAAAGGTAAATCACTCCTGCACACCAAAACATGTTAATAAAGGAACTAGGTATTTCAAACTCAAGCATCATAACCTTTTGAAAAAAAGGAAATAATAAAGATGAAATCCTGGCTAAGCAAATATTATGTAACCGCAAGAGGCATGTGAATTTTTCTTTCTCTTTCTGAATTTGTGTGTCCTTCACATGTTTCTTCTAGATCTGTGCAGTGATCCTCTGCAGTTTACCTCTGTACAGGAATTTCCTGTAAAATGACCAGTCACTACAGCCCCTTTCCTTGTGCAGGGTGACTGGTCCTGTATCCTCCCCCTCCTGTAGTTTTCTGCAGGCAGCCTGTAGTGGGTGGGGCCTGCTGGATCTCTCCCACCACTCTGCTCTCTGCACAGTCTATGTTCAGCAAAGTGATGATACCACAAGGTAATATCTAGTTTTGCAAATGTATTTATGGCATGCAAAGTGCATTTTTTATGCTTTGTAGCTCTTAAGGAATATGGTTACATTAACGTTTTTGTGCCCAGAGTTCAGCTTCAAGCATGAACCTTTAAAAGTTCTGGTGCTTTTAGCAAAAATGTGCTGTGAATATGATTTTCATTTCCTGGCGACTTAAATGTCTCCCATAGCTGCCTGTGGAGGTCTCATCAGAAACATCACCACTGGACGCCTTGTGTCACCAAACTTCCCCGGAAACTACAGCAATAACCTGACCTGCCACTGGGTTCTAGAGGCTCCACCAGCACAGCGACTTCATCTGCACTTCGAGAAGGTTTCCTTAGCTGAAGATGACGACAGGTAGCACTGCACACACTATTCAACCTCTCAACATCAGTAGCTTATTTTCTGTTATATAAGTCACCAACTCAATATGCATTCTAGCATTGACATGCTGCTAATACCTTTTGTTACCAAATAAAAAAAAAAGATTATAAGCTAAGAGGTCTAAAACAACCTTATCTAACCAATGCTTGAGTTCTGTGTAGCCAACAGAGGCCATGGCTTAGGACCACAACCACCCACATAAACCTGATGCTGACTGTCAGTATCACATTTTCATGCAACACTGACAGATTTCAGACTGTTTGCTTCCATGCACAAATTAGCATTTTTGCTAATGAAATGGTGTAATGTGTATCAGGTTTGTACACCCAGAACTAAAGATGTACTGGCACGGAACAGGCAAACTGCCTCTTTCAGCGTTTCTACCTCCAGCCTCAGCATGCCTTATCTGCTGTGGTAATCTTCCCTTGCATGGACAATGTATAGTATGACTGAAGCATTATTTGTCTTTCAATGATAACACAACATTACAAACAATAATGTAAAATATGTGGCTGGATAGATTGTTTAAAAGCATTTATTCAACCATCTCATTCGATTTTAGCTGGAATTGTATTTGGTCGCTTAATTCCCTTATTGCTGTGTTGATGTTCCTTCTGTTTTTTCAGGCTTATTATCCGAGACGGGAATATAATAGATTCCCCATCTATCTATGACTCATATGAGGTGGAATATCTCCCTATTGAAGGCTTGCTCAGTACTGCACGACACTTCTTTATAGAGCTAACAACCGACAGTAGTGGCACCTCTACAGGAGTGGCACTTCGTTATCAAGGTAACACAGATTGTTCTTTTTTTCTTTCTTAATTTGAATGCTCATTTTTATTTCATCTGCTTTTAATTGTTCGTCACAATGTGCTTCCTGGAAGACCTGCTAGATCTAACTGGCCTTGCCTCAGATAAATTATGGTGGCCATGCACGGCTTGACCTTTGCAGGTGATGCACCAATTCATCTTCTCAGACCAGAAGGTACAGAAAGCCAACACTGCTGAAGAATTTATTAATATTTGTCTTTCTTTTGCAGCCTACGAACAAGGTCATTGTTATGAACCGTTTGTTAAATATGGTAACTTCACCAGCAGTGATCCTACCTTTGCTGTGGGAACAGTAGTGGAGTTCACTTGTGATCCTGGCTATACACTGGAACAAGGATCTACCATCATTGAGTGCCAAGACTCTGGAGACCCTCAGTGGAATGAGACAGAACCAGCATGCAGGGGTGAGGAAAGACTAAAAGCTATGCCACATGGTGACACGTTATTTACTCCAAATTCTTATTTTTGAAGCCAAACTCCAGCAAAAGCTTTTTTTTTAGCTTTCAGCAGTCGGGAAGGGAAATAACTTTTGGCACGTTTTTATTGTGGTATGTGTGCCCATTGAAGTGATTTCCCCCACATCCTATCAAGACAGTGTATGAATGGGAAACCTCACCAGTGGGGATACAGAAGTGTTAAAACTTCTGTCAGGTTATTATTATTATCTGTGTCTTCCTGTCTCCATGACAAACAATCCCCTCATTTATTGCCCTGCTATCACAGGAATAGAAAGTGAGATTAGAGTTATAGAAAATAAAATAAATCCCTAAACTTACTATTACCAAATCTATCCAAAACGTAAAACATGTTTTGACTGGGGTTTGACTTTAAGTGCAAAATCTTAACTGTGATAACCCATAGCAACCAATCTAGACCACTCTGCTGACGTTAAATACAGTATGTGCAAGATGAATTATGATTGGTAACTCTGGGTTACATGAGAATTGTCCCTTAATTAAGAAGTCTTTACTGAAAATGTTAAATATAGATGCATTTAGATTAGATTAGATTAATTCAGAAAGTTTAATAACATTTGGGAATATTTTTTATAAAGGCACTACACATACATTTGTTGTCTTTTTCTTTTTCCACTTTTAGGAGACCCATAGAAAATCATTTACTTTCAAATCAATTTGCTCTAAAAGATGCATTTAAAAAATAAAACCTTAACACCACACATTCATTCTAAAAAAAAATAATAATAATAAAGGTGTTTCATAATATTACAAAAGTAAATGAACACAAAGAAAGGTGTGTGATTCATAAGAATCTAATTGAATAAAATTAATGTTGAAATTGTTCAGTTCAATGTAATTTATTCTTGCCTCAGCTGTTTGCAGTGGAGAAATCACAGACTCTGCAGGGGTGGTGCTTTCACCTAATTGGCCTGAAGCCTATGGGAAAGGACAGGACTGCATCTGGGGTATTCATGTAGAGGAAGAGAAAAGAATTCTTCTGGACATACAAGTGTAAGTCCTTATGTATAATCTAACTAACTGACATTTGTTTCCCCAGTTCATGTCATGTATGCACTTTTAATGTGTCTTTCCACTTTAGCAGTCAAATTTAAGAAAAACCCCTCTACGTTTGTTGTGTGTATCTATTTACACAGCATAATGACAAATATTTGTTTTAAATATTTCTTACCGTTAAGATGTTTTGTTGCAGCAGGCAGCAAGGCTGATTACAGGTTTTTCTCAGCACCTTCACAGTTTTCTGTTCTTATAGAAAGACTTAGGACTCTAATTTGAGGATTGTGTTTCTCCCATTAACTTCATTAACATACAATGGAGAAGCCCCTAACTACCCTCCTTACATTAAAAAAGAAGGAGAAGCAAGAAGAAATGTTAACTCTTAAGAAGCCAAGAAAGCCATGTAAAAGCATCTTAAACTGCAAGAAGCATTTTTAAAATATTTGTTTAGCTTATGCAATGTGAATGGGAACATGTAACAAATATAAAATATTTTATCCCAATTTGAATGTGAAAGTGGAAATACACTTTAAGGAGCCCAGAGTTATAGAAAGTTTCTGATGGGGGCCTATTGCATGGAATGCAGATGAACATAAAATCTGAGTGTGAATGTATTTTCAAAAAGCAGATAGCTCAGGAAATTGCTTTTTTTAGGAGGGAAAATAGTGATTGCCTATAAAAGTCTATAATGGATAATCAATTGTTTCACCAAGCCTGGTCGATCAGGGGGCATTTGCAAAGGTTGAAGACTGTCTCAGACTTAACAGTAGATTCCAAATCCGAGTTTAATCAGCTGGACTCGGAAAATATTATTCCATGTATGTGGATTCCTTTAATCCACAACCTCTGATTTAGTTTTTCTTTCATTTAAGTTTTTGTTTTTTTGTTTCTGTAATGTGATTTTATAGGTTGAAAGGTCTTGTAGAAAGAGGGTGCTCCTCTGGGATCCCATGCAATAAGTAAGCCTGGGCCATTTGACATTTACTTTTTTTAATAATACTGATCATACATATAAATGCCTCATAATGTAACAAGCTAGTTCGAAAAAGGTATTCCATACCATGATTTTATTGCTATTGCTGTAATATTAGAGGGAAGAAATAAACATTCATGAACCACAATCAGCTTGGCCCCCAGGCATGTCGTGCTCAGTTGCAGATGCTATTGTATTTTTGCTACCTGTGTTGAGGCCTCTAATATAGGAATGGTCCTGATGGAAGATAGATGGCCAAGGATAAAGGCATACAGCGCTCAGGGCTCTTACATGCAGCAATAAAGAGAAACAACAATAAAAAATGGTACTCTGGTTGATAATAATCATGGAAAGCCACTGGTTATAGAGTCACATATGCAGCATAAATCATCTCTCTTTATCCAATTGTAGTAAATTTCATCGTGTTTCCAAAGGATGATAGACGTTTCCAGATCACAGTCTCAAAAGGGTAATTTAATGGACACGTACAGATTTTTCATAGATAAAAAAATCAGTTTATTTTGCATTTTTCCATAGCTGGCTAGAACTTTAAAGCCCAATTGCATATTTTGTATAAATCAGCTAAAAAGATGTAATGAGTATTGATCCCACAGGGAGACCAAAGTGTTGTCCCCCGCCATTAGGCTGCAGAGAGGACTGCTGCTCTCTGTGTGGAAGCAGCAGTCTGCTTGCAGCAGTCCGACACACACCACACTAATTTACAGGTAGAGCTCTCCAATCAGTAAAGCTCATGCTCCTTGCTGATTCCAGAGCTCTAACTCTGACTCACAGGGGATGTGTTGAACCACTGGAGAGAGATCACTGCTTCCACTCAAAGAGTAGTGGTCCTCTCTGGAGCCTAACAACACTTTGGGCCCATCATTGTGGGAATCAGTTAGCTTAATTAAAAACAACACTTTATATTCAATTATATATTTTGGCTGCGCAAAACATACACAATAGTATTTTAAGTTATGTATTTACCTGTTTGCCTGGATTTCAGTGTTAATTCATCTGTGGTAACAGCTGAATATTGAATGCAGCATGATGTCACTAACACACCGTTTGCTGGTGGCATGCTTTACTTCTTGGAATCAAGTGACACCATCCACACCCACTTCAGCACCCATTCTATAAAGGGTATACTGCTTAGGAGTGAGGTTAACATCAGGCATGGATCACGATGAAAAGTCTGACCAGCATTCTGACGAACATCGCAAGACCAATCAAAATCTGGCATCTCATGGATTTAGGAGCAATACATGTTTTAGGTAGTAGAGTTCACTAATTACTTTGAGGATTTGGTAGTACTTACTGTTACCAAGGAGGTATTCCTGTCTATGGATAGCTAAAGGCCAAAATATATGTATTAGTTACGGTCATTTTCTCCCTAAAGTCAATGAGAGAAATTCCCCCCACCAACACACTACTGCCATAGTAATACAGTTGTACAATGTCAGTGGCTCAGCATGTCAGGGTAAATGGAATCAGCCAGAAAAATGAATCATTGATGCTAAAAAACACAAGTTTGTGTGAGTGGTGTAAGATATTTTATCAGTGCTGACACAGTGATTAATATGGATGTTGTCTGCCCAGGATCCTTGGCCCTTAACGCGTGCTTCCTACTAGATTCAGGGAGTGGATGTTGAGGAAAAAAACAGGGGTTTCTGGGAGATTCATAATATACGTTCATACTCCCGTGGTTAATTAATATTCTTAATTTGCATATCTCTCTTATTCTCTCTCTTGCCTGGAGTTGTCATTTCTAAACATATGATCATAATAAACGATCATGCTCTGTTTTTCCACCAGTAGTTGCCAGCAAAATTAATCTTCTGCTTCACACTCAGAAACCAATGTACCCACCACCATATCACAGCTTGTACAGAAAGCTCGGATCCCCAGCTAGTGACATGCTCGATGTGGTGTGCCAATTTTCACTTACTAGATAACAGCTTTTTACACAAGCCAGGAGTGTAAGAACTAGGGAGGTAACGGCAAAGTGGATTTAATTACATTTATCCTATTTTCTGTATAGTAGCTCTAATGTCATGTGTTTTTGCTCTGCTACTTGTAAAAATAACAAATCAAGGACTTTGGCAGCATGTCTTCAGTACATAAATAAACACGTCTTTTAGAGTGTTTTTCTTGTTTCTTAGAAAGCATTATCTTATCAAAATCTGAATACAATTAGTATAATTACTTGTTTGCAAGAGAACTAAATGGTGATTAGACATCAGCTGCAATAAAAAGGCTCAAATCCCAACATTACTTTTAGATTTAATAAATGTAGGACTTTAGGAGTGGGGGAAAAAGGACACTTCAGGGCCATACACTTCCTCCGGGGCCCCACATGGCCCTCAATCCCCGAGATGGAGACCGACGACAATCTAACCCGGCTGGGATTCTGGCGCCACTACCAGCTCAATCACTTCTTCTCATCCCTACCCAGCCCTAACTCTTTCATTAGACCACTCACATGCTTTGAGAAGGAATGCATCGCCACGGGGACCCTGTCTAGAACCCTCTCCTTCTGCTATCAGTTGAGACTCGCGGCGGAATCAGACATGTCTCTACCGTTCCTAGAAGGATGGGAACGGGACCTGGAGGTGTCCTTTACATCAGAAGAGAAATCCAGAATGCTGCTGCTCTCTCTGAAGTCATCCATCTGTAATAGATATCAGGAATCAGGATACAAAATCCTGACCCGATGGTACCTCACTCCCCAGAGATTGAGGCGCATCTTCCCGGATGCCAGTGATTGCTGCTGGAGGTGTGGCTCCTCCCCCGCAGGCATGCTTCACGTCTTCTGGTCATGTCCGTCCTTGCAGTCGTTTTGGACACAAGTCCGGGACATCACACAGAAATTTTCGGACTCCCCGATACCGTACTCCCCATCCTTCTTCCTACTCCACCACAACAGGGGTACAGGTACTCCTAGAATGAGATCCTAATAGGTTGGACTTGATGGACTAATGTCTTTATTCAACCTCAAATACTATGTAACTATGTAACTCACGGCCCTTGAGGGGATACAAGAAATCAGCGATCATTCACCTGGTCAATGCAGCCCGCGCCTGTATTCCAGCCATGTGGAAACAGGCGTCTCCTCCCACCATTCAGTTATGGTTCAGCAAGATCAATGATATTAGGCAGATGGAAGACCTTACCAGCACCATCAAAAATACAGTGACTCGGTTCGGTCATACATGGTATTATTGGAACGAGTTCATCACCTCCCAGGAATACCTGGACCTCACCATGTGAACCCTTAGAGAAGTCACACACTCTAACCCCCTGGTTCCCTCTCTCTGCCCCCTCTCATTGTTCTCTCTACTCCCCCTCTTTCACTGTATTCCTAATCTGTGCTTTACGCTGTCTATGGGGTTGGTGGGTGGCCAGATAGGCCCTGCTGACCTGACAAAACTAAAAATTTGAGCATTTTTTATTTTTTATTTTGTCCAGCTGTACATTAGATGCATGTGGTATTGGATTCGAATAGACTCGGAATAAAGTCTTGTTGCGCCCCCCGATCCCAGGTGGCTGGGTGAGCAGGTAGTGCCCACAATTGGCCGCCTCTAGTACGCCCTGTAATCCTTTTCCCCACTGTATCTGCCTTTTCTACCTGGGGTTGGGGGCTGCGTCCACCTACAACCTGTTGATTGTGAACTGCTGTTGGTTCCATATTTGTGTTCCCTATTTGCACTGCTCAATAAAAAGCAAAAAAAAAATGTAGGACATGTAAGATATTTTGCCCACTTTCATCCCACTAAAGTGTGTAACTGAGGTCCTGTTCTGTGATTGGAGGGATTCTTCCTCCAATTTAGAGAAAGCACATTGGTTGCTGGTTGGAATAGAAGTTCAGCTATCAAAGAGAGAAGACCTGTTTCCTACCCTTACCCCTTGGGTATCATGATAGATGAGAGGTGGCATGAGGGTGATTGTGGAACTTCAGACGCATGTTCCTGCTGTGTGTATTTATTGATTGATACATGCATACCGGCTTTTGTTTCAGAATGTGAACATGTTGCCACACTGGAAATTTGGCTCACTGTACCCCAGCACAGAGACTTATTGGCTCCATACTTCACATCCATGTAAAATCAGTCGGTGAGACATTATGGGAGATATTAGGAGACAATGACTCCTATATTCTCTGCTTCACAAAATCTGTATTTTAACATTTGTAAAAATATTATAGCGCATTCCATTTAGGTGCTCCATAGAAGAATTTTGTAACATTAGAGGATTTATGGTTGATTGTCTATGTCAACGTATCACATGCCTTAGGGCAGGTCTCTGCACAAACCTTACAGTTGTAACATATGGCACATATTTGCCAGTGTGTATCTTTACAATATTGATATTTTTGTATCCACTATTGTTGATTACATATATAGATAAAGGAATGGCCCTGCAGTAGGGAGGAGTTTTTAATGGTTTTATTTTAATAACTCTTACTTGTGAAATAGAGATGTATATTTTTTTCTCTATTTATAGATGGATGGTTTATGTTTTAGTTAACCACTGAGGTTTTTCAGATAATTGAGATGATAGATAGATAGATTTGTCCATTATAGTACAGCTATACATTCTGCACATGAGAAACAGTGGTGTTCTATATTTACTGAGCATGGATTTTTATATATAGATAAGATTTAGCATCTGTCCAGGCCACTTTTGGTTTTTCCCCTTATCTTGCATAATTTTAGTTTACAACTAACATTGCTTTTATTCTTAAAGCCAAGTCAGGTCATCTGCACAGATGAGGGCAGGTGTGCTTTGTTCTATGAGCCTTGTCAATTCATTAAAGTGGAGCTCCCATTTCCGATGAACAACACAGGCAAAGCGGATCTCATACATACTGGACTACTGGGGACACATAAATTATTGACAATTGCATAGGCTTTAAAAACCTCCCTTACAGAATATGAAGCATCAAGAATAACCTGCATAAACAGGTAGAATATCAATACTTGAAGAACCGTGATGAAATTTAATCAGTCGGTAATATAAAAAATGTATCCAGGAAATTATTTGGTCATTCTGGGTAACAGCAACAAAATCAGAAATAAGAAGCAATCTCTAGCTGGATAGACAGCTCTTTATATGGCTGTTGTATAATCTTAATTATTGAATTCTTTCTGACTATTGTTTTGTTTCTTTTGCTTCACCTGTGTTGCATGTCTTCTCCATATGTCTGATCTTTCTTTTCCTCATTTCCTCTTTAGGCTGAACATTGGCAAGAGTGACATTCTCACTTTTTACGATGGTGATGACTTGACAGCCCGTGTCCTGGGTCGGTACACGGGGACACACAGTCGTTTCAAAATCTATACATCAATGGCAGATGTCATTGTCCAGTTCCAGACAGATCCAGGGAGCAACGTGTTTGGCTACCAACAAGGGTTCATTATTAACTTTTTTGGTAAGTCATTGTTGCTACTTATTAAAGTGACCCTTTCACTACGGGGTTGAAACTAAACTAAAGACAGCTTGTGAAACAAGATGCTGTAAACTTAACTTTCTGCTGGCCCATGTGTTAAAATTCTGCTGCATTGTTGATCTCTGGCTGCTGCAGGTTTCTGATACTTGTGGCCTTTTGAATACTTGCTCCCCACAGTGTGAGCCGCTGTCGACTCGAAAGTCTGGTAGAAACCTGCAGGAGGAACCAGAGCAAGAGCTTGGGGAAGCAGACAGTGGGAGGTGTCTGGTACCTGCAGCGGCTGAGGATCAACAAACTGGCAAGGTTTTAACACAGAGGCCACTGGCAATAAAGAGAAAAAAAATACCATACATACATTTTAACTTTTGGAAACTATGAACATAGAAAACTCCACTTCATTGGTACATTCAAATCACACCTTCATTGCTAAAGGCAGGCCAGGGATATCATATCTCATAAGACGGGCTGCATGTAATTTGACCTTTGTGCATAGTGCTGTGACACAGGATTGGGGACAGGATGGCGATCTGTGAGTGAAATAAAAACCAGGGTGCAGTTATTGAGTTCATTACCAATTCAACAATACTTTTATCAGTGGAATTGGAGGTTCGCTTTAAAATGGACATATCAAAAGTGAGTTACTATTTTGATTTAAAAATGTACTTCTTGTTTGCCATTAGTTAAAACATTAGTTCTCAGCAGCAGATGACTTGGGCTTAGGATTGTGGAGAATTATGGGTATTTCATGTCAATAAAGAATGAAGGAGGTATATTGCTTTCATACAAACAGACCCTGCTTGGGAGACTTGCAATGAGATATGAGGATCAGCAAGGTACAATTTTGGTTTCCCCATGTGCATACAAACAAGGACCAAGAACACACAATTTTCTCTGAAATAACTTGAAACTGACCAACGTAATTTGCACTCACTATTGTTTATTCCATATTAGATTAAAAAAAAGCAGCCTTTGCTTTTGATTCAACAGTATTTTTAAAATGATAAAAGAAAATAAAAAAGGATGGGACCCTTAAGCGGAACTACAATCTCCTATACTTTGCAGCCAAGGAAGGTGCCATCTTAGCCTATATTTGGATTGCAGCTGCCATGGTGGTGCACATGTTATTAGCTATTTGGGGTTTGAAAGTTTGGTGGAGAGCCGATATAAGTACACTGGCTCCCTTAACAGTTGGCATGACTTTAAAGTAACTGCTTTGGGAGACATTAAATTGGTGGGTCTAGTTCCACTCTACCCCTAATATTGTGTTGCACAACTTTTAGAGGAATACACTGCAAACAAGTAATTTTCGTAGTTCTCAATAAGACTTTTGTACATGCCAACAGGTAGTTTGGCCCACTCTTCTTGAGCAAACTGCTCCAGCAGTCTCAGGCCATAGATGTTCAAAAGGATTCAAATCAAGGCTCATAGAAGGCCATTAGCCTAATGTTTTGTTCTTAGCCATTCTTGGGTGCTTTTTGCTGTGTGTTTAGGGTTATTGTCCTGTTGGAGAAACCATGACCTGCAACTGAGACAGAGCTTTCTGACACTGGGCAGTACATTGCAGAAGTCCTTGATAGTCTTGAGATTTCATTATGCCCTGTATACTGTATCTTCAAAACAAGTAAAGTTCCCCTTTAGGAGTACAAGTAGAAAATAGAAGTGATATTGTTCATACTAAATGACATTAAATCTCACAAAAGCTTCAACAAGGTGAGGAGAACTATGAGGTGAGTGCTTTTCACTCACCTCATAGTTCTAGCCAACCTGTGACAATGAGACTGTCACAGGTCGGCTCAGTAGATCTGGAGGTGAGCGAACACATACCGGCGTTCGCTCACCTCTCGATCCTG